AACATGTAGAAGATGCTATGCACGATCTTCAATGTTATCAAACATATCTGATCTTATACATTTTTCCATGTTACTCTCTGAAAACACGTTAAAACTCTGTAACGGCTCAACCTTCCTCTTGCTTAAATTGCTAACCACGAGGGGATGATTGTTTTCACATATGATGGAATTTTCCACTCACGTGTCTACTGACTCTAGCCACATCCACAGATCCTCTTGTCATCCCCTGAAACACTGTGCCCCTGAAATCACAACCCCCTAAAGTGACATATGTTCTATTTCCATTTTTTTTCACTCCATGACTTAAAAAATTAGAAAATCTGTACTGCCTATTGGACAAAACTGAGTCACAGTCTCGACTTTTTAGAGGAAAAGACTTTAATATGAAGATATTATGAAATTCACCTACAGTTCCATAGGGGTTTGACTTAAACACAAATAAAAGTCCCACCTTTGGATCCCGTTTTCAGTTTGAAAATCCTCTGTGTTTTAAAAATAACCAAAGAATGAGAATGAATCCTCTGTCCCCAAAGCTAACAACCTTGAAGAAGGGAGAGTTCCAGAGCAGCAGGGCTCAGATCGGGACAGTCAGCAGCCCTTCCCCCACGCAGCTGGTCGTCCGCTCACTGCGGAATATATCTAGTTAGGGTTGTGGAAACTACAGTCTGCTAATCCGTGACCAGCTCAGACCTCACTGTCTATGACCCACGTGTGTAAAGCTCAATCAGGCACCTGCTGGCACTCTGCTCCCGTTGCACTTGCTAGGGGCATGTCTTTTGGTTCGCTTCCCCCTTAATGGGATGTCACTTACCTGAAATAGCTTTGAAGTGACTAGCTTTATGGATATTTTCGGTAGAGCGCTACTCCCTTTCTTTGAGACATGAATTCAATTTTACTAAGTTGATTAAAGTTTATTTTTTCTCTAATGAGTACTCTTGTCATCACATCACTTGTCTTTATCTTTCCATGTTGTCACATCTGTTAGTCACATCACCAATCTGTTGACCTCATTGTTCGCTGTTACCCATCTTTTTTCTTTTGCATATACAAATAAAATGAACTCTTTCTCATAACTTTCTTTTTTTCCCTTTGTTATCAGAGGACGTGAGTACTCACCAGGGAGAGAGAGAAAGCGCACAACCCCCCCACACACACACAGTGAGGCACGGTCACTCCGTAATATCCCTTCTTCCACATTTCTCCATCCTGTCAAGATTTAGGGCAAATATGCACAGATACCCAGCATGTTTTTGTTTTTGTTTTTGAGAGGTTTTTCACTATAGGGCCCATGTGCTCGCCAGACAGACAGAGAAAGACATAGAGACAGAAAGTAAGAAATCACCCCCCAGGGGGGATGGTCATGCCGCAATCCCTTCTCCTCCATTCTCCTCTCAAGATCTTAGGCACACACACACACACACACACACACACACACGCACCCGGCGTGAGTTTTAAGCCACCGGGTCTGGGACGCAAACCGCGGTCGACTACGTGGGAGTCCAACGACATAGCCATTACGCTAACTGCTGGTTCCCCCAGCATGTTTTTCAAACCACCAGAGTTGAGATTTGAACCATGGTCAGCCATATGGAATCCAGTTCCCTTAAGCATTACATTACAGGCCTGGAATGTCATAGCTTTCTTAATCTAGAGTATTTTTATACTAATGTATTGGAATCCACTTAAACCTAATTACAGCGTCACATTTTGCCAGCTTACTATACTAGAAGACAAGAAACATAATGAGTTGTTGTTTTTCTTTAGAAGAAAATTTGGATTAATAGAGTTTATAAAACATAGGCAAAAATGAATGGAAATCTTCCTGTTTAAGATTTACTGTTACAATAAGTCTTGCTTTTTTTTATTGCTTTTTTATTGTGTCCCAGGACCTCCTGCATGCCTGGTGTAATGAATTAGACAACTACTTTAGTCACAGGCTGCATGAAGCAGAGCTCTGGAGGCAAGCACCTCTTCAGAGCTGGGTTACTTAACCAGTCTGAGCTTCAGTGTCCGTCTTTGTCAAATGTAATTGTTGGGAGCAGTATATGAGATGACACCTAACACGGTGCCTTATTACTCTTCCTCTCCACCCCCACCCCCTGCCTTTCTAACAACTATTTCAGGTAGAGTACATGAGGCCAGGTGACAAAACCACAGACACTGTCGTTAGTATTCCAATTCAAAAAAAAAAAAAAAAGTAACTGGAAACAAGTAATTAATCCATAATTTTTAAAAACTATGTTAATATAGGAATCAGCAGTTAGCGTAATGGCTGTGTCGCTGGACTCCCATGTAGTCCACCGCGATTCGAGTCGCGAACCCGGCAGCTTATACTCACACTGGGTGCATGTGCGTGCGTGCCCAAGATCCCAAGAGGAGAATGGAGGAGAAGTGATTGCAGCATGACCATCCCCCCTGGGGGGTGATTTCTCGCTTTCTCTCTCTCTGTCTCTGTCTTTCTGGTGAGCGCATGCGCCCTATAGCAAAAACCTCTCCAAAAAAAAAAGGAAAAAAGTATGTGAATATAGGGGGCAGCAGGTGGCCAGGTGGTTAAGGTGCTGGACTCCCACATGGACAATGACTGTTCAAGTCTCAGACCTGGCAGCTTGAAAATCACGCTGGACACATGTGCATGCATACTCAAATCCTAAGAGGAAAAGGAACTGCAGCTTTGCCATCTCCCGAGGGAGTGGAAATGATTTCTCCCTTTCCTTCGCTCTGGAGCTCTCTGTGTCTCTCCTCTCTGATGAGTCCTGCACCCTTTTATAAAAACTTAAAAAAAAAAAAGAAAAAAGTGAACATGTGGATCTTGTATATTTAAAGCACTATATGTAAATGATGAGGTTTTGTTTGACCCAGAAAAGCAGATGATTTTATAGAGAATTACTGTGCAATTAGTCAATCTGGAATTGTTCCATATTCTTTTATTTTGATGACCAAATTTGGAATTAACAGCGTTCTATCCATAATCACCAGAAACTCAAATGCAGGAAAATGCTACTTTCCCTGACGCTTTGTTATTTAGTTCCACTGACAGCAGATTAGTCAGTATACCCTTAGGGAGGATGTTTTCCCCTAAGAGTCAGATGTGGGGATGCCTTGGCTGCTTTTACAAACAAGCTACCCTGATGGAAATTCACTTTGAGTTAATGAATCTTAGAGCACAATAATTTTAATTGTGTTTACTTAGCATGCCACTTTGAATTGTTTATTTTCCAACTGCTTTTTTTTTTTTTAAGTTTATCCATTTTTTCTTCCCTGAGCAAGAGGGACAGAGAGCGAGTAAGAGAGAGAGAAGCAGCACTCCCACCAGGGTCCTGACACCACACTCCATCCCCAGCCTCAGCTAGCACCCCAGGTCACAGGCTTATGCATGCCCGGTGTACTCGGGGAGATCTCTGACCATGAACCCAGGACCTTCCCATGTGCGTCAGCCTCACAGAGCATTGCATTAACCCACTGTGCCACCATCCAGCCCTCCACTTGTCAGCCACTTTTTTGATATCCTGCGGGCATAAATGTGAAGATGATCTAAGACCTAATTCTTACAATGAGGCTTAAGTAACTGTGATGAACTCCATAGATAAAAGATGGGTAACCTTCAACTAAAAATGCAAAATCTCCAATCTGAAGGGGCCGAATGATCTCTAGGATAGTCACCCATCCGAAGTTTAACTTTGCTCCAGAACCTCCCTGCCACGTGAGAAACTATGCTTCAGGGTACCCTCCAGGCGACGCTAAGAAACGTTCTCCAGTCTTAAGCGCTATAGCGTCTCTAGGGTCCAGATTCCTTCAGAGCTAGAAAAACAATTCTGCTCAAACCCATGATGCCACAAACTTCTTGAGGGTAGGGGCTATATCTACTATGGCTTCATAACTTGATAAATGATTGCTAAATGGAATGAAAAGCAGTTATTGTTCATTATTTTGAGATATTATCTTACAGAAAGGTAAATGGTCAATATATTTAGGTTCCATTGAGAAAGCACAACAGAAGTAACTGATATTCTTATTTCAATGCCATAGCTGAGGGACCAGCGGATGGTTCCAGTGCTGGACTCTCATGTAGTTGTCTGTGGTTTAAGTCCCAGACCTAGAGACTTAAAACTCATGCAGGGCATGAAGGGACTGCGGAGTGGCCATTCCCCTGGGGGGTGATTTCTCACTTTCTCTCTGTCTCTCCAGCAAGCACAAGCACCCTACAGCAAAAATCAAACAAACAAAAAACTAAAAACTCTCTCTAAAAAAAAAAGAAAGAAAAAAGAAAAATGCCATAGCTGATAAATTTGTTAATCTTTCAATGTTATCAGTTTTACCTATTTGTCTTATTTTATGCCAGTGTACCTGCACCATAAAATAACATATTTAGTGACTACAGATACTGTCAGATGTCACATATGCAGGATACACTGAGACATCAGTCAGGGAAGCTGAAACCCACTGAAGTGGGCATTAAGAGTCCTGGGTTCCAGCCCCACCCCCAGCACTGCCAGGAGAGTGAGCCCAGACAGACCACTCAAACTTTCTGTTTTGGGTGCTCTCTTTCTTGCTTGCTTTCTTCCTTTCTTTCTTTCTCTCTCTCTCTTTCAAGTTTATTTTATTTCTTCCATGTGAGAGAGACAAGGAGAAAGAGGAGGCCTTGGTCAGGTGATCTGCCCCCGCCTCAGTTGGCACACATCAGTGGCCTGTGTGTGCACCCCTGCCATACTCAGGAAAGCCCCAAAACCTTCCCAAGAGGGTCCTGTTGTGGGTCACTGCCACACCCTCTGGCCCCACTTCTGCAGACTGCCAAGGCTGAACCAAACACTGTCTCCAAGTCTTTCCAGTTTTGCAGGTCATTGGCGTTTTTGATTTGTTTGTCCCCTGTGGGAGAGCACCGCGGTGGTAGTCATAGGACACAGACCTCTGCTTTCCAGTTCAGTTCCGAATTTATGCTGCCAATACCTGTCCACTTCTTATCCTGCTTAAAACTAGAGGTGCTTTCCCCCGTCTCTTTTCAGAACACTTTTCTTCAGGAGACAGTGCGCCGGGAGTGTGAAGAACGCTTTGAACTGACAGAGGCTTTGGGTCAAGCCAGAGAACAGCTCCTGGAGCTCAGGAAGCTCAGTGGAAGCTTACCGTTGTCACCGTGTGCCCTCAGCAAGGGCAGCCTAACCTCCCCTCCTGCCATGACAGGCAGCAGTCGTGCAGAGAAAAGCCTTCCCAGGCTGGACTCCGAAAAAGGAACCAGAATCCCCAGCCTGTGTGGAGGGCCAAAACCCACCGCTTCTCCAGCCCCCGACAACTCCACGAGGGTCAGCCCCCCAGGTTTGCCGGTTCTCAGGCAACCGTATCCTCCCAGGAGCAGAGCATCTTCAGTGAGCCAGACGAGGAAGAGGCTGGCTGCCATTCTTCGGAGGAGGCTGAGTCAGCAGTGACCCCGACCTCAGGGCGGCCCTGCTCGGTGTACGCTCTTTCTCAAAGTGCCAGAGACTCACTGTCACCGAGAATGACAAAGGTCAAATTGTTTTCACAGACCAAGAATGCATGTCTATAGATATATTTAACAAAAGAATGTAAAAAGCTAGAAAACGGTGAGGCCACATTTCCCAAGAGACCTTTGAAATTGCAACAGATAATGAGGTGGCTGGTATCCCAGAGGGCGGATTTCTACATTTATGAATTGTATGTGTTTAGATACACCCTATGACTATGTCCTTTCAGAGATCACTGGTAAAACTCTTCATCCATAGCATCTTCTATATTTTTTCGCACCATGGCAAGTAGATTTATTTCCACACACATGCACAAAATAGGTTGTATTGTTGGTGTTTGTTGAGCTGAATAGGCTAAATAGATGGAAGAAGTATCCCAAATAGAAAAGGAAAGCACTTTAGTCCTTAATTACATAACTTCCAAAATGCTTCGCTTAAATATTCACAGAGCTCATCATCATCATCAAAGCTTCTTTTCTTCACCTTGCAATCCAGTTGCTTAATCCAAGTTTTTCTCCTTTTTTAAACTGTGCTTTCTAGTGTGCATATATGATCGTACATGTGTGGTAGATACAGTACAGTTTTCCAAAGCATACATCCAGTGTGCAGTAACCAAACTAGGCATATAGACATATTCATATTAGTCAACATTGCACATTACATTATTCTTTTAGGCTAGGTAGGAGTAATGCTAGAAAACCTTCAGGAAGACGATCTTCCCTTAAGTGACTGGGGGATATAAGAAAATGGTGGTTTACTTTTCAGATTATGAACAATATTTTGGAAAACAAAGACTCATGGAAATACTACTTGGTAGAGAGTTCCCAGTTGATTGCCTTTTTTTTGGTACTCAGAGATAGGCTTTGCTTTGAACTTGTATTCTCAAGCTCTTTGGAAGAGAACTAATTCAAGACAGTTTAGTACAGGAGTGCAGAGGTAATTTGAGATTTCGGTGTTATTTTATTACCATCAAGGGGGCCAGCAGGTGGCATGGTGGTTAAGAGCGCTGGACTCCCACGTGGCCGGCTGCGATTTGAGTCCTGGACCAGGCGGCTTGCTTTCTCACTCTCTCTCTCTGTCCCTCTCTGGTCCAATTTAAATAAATAAATAAATAAATAAAGTTCAATGAAATAATTCTTTAAAAAAAAAAAAGAGCAAACATTTATTATCATCAAAAATGAGCAACTAGTTAGCATATTTTTTTAAATTTCAGAGTGAAAAGGTAAAACCTGAAACTAGAGCAGCTATTTTAAGTTATCTTAAAACTTTAGACTCCCTCCGCTTTTTTTAAAGAGGTTTTTTGTTGTTGTTTTGTTTGGGGTGTTTTGTTTTGTTTTGTTTTGCCTTGGGGTCTGTGTACTCACCAGGAAGAGAGAGACAGTGGGAGAGAAAATGAGAAATCACTCTCAATCACCTCTCAGGGGGGATGGCCAAGCTGCAATCCCTTCTCCATTCTCCTGGGATCTTGAGCACGCACACACACACACCCAGCCTGATTTTTCAAGCCATCAGGACTCAAACCCAGTCGGCCATGTAAGAGTCCAGCAGCGTAGAAGTTAAGCCATCTGCTGGCCCCTAGACTTCTCCTTTTTCTTAAAACACAATTCTTTATCTTAACCTAGTATTCAACTATCTTGTTTCTAATAGAAGAGCAGTTTCTTCCAAAACTGATTTTACTTAAATCCTTCATCTGACTATGTCAAAGACACCCAACTTTCCTGCTCCCGTATTAATAGCAACACATGATACATTCTATCTGGCTACCTCTTTCTTTTTTTTTTTTAAGGTTTTTGCTACAGGGTGTGTGCGCTCACCAGAGATGATGAGAGGAAAAATGAGAAATCATCTTCTGGGGAGGATGGCCACCCTACAATTGTTTCTCTATTCACCCCCTAAGATTTGGGGCATGCACACACACATGTCCCTTGTGAGCCTCAAGTCACCAGGTCTGGAACTCCAACCGTGGAACTCCAACCGTGGACCACCATGTGGGAGTCCAGTGTCCCAACCCTCATGCCACCTGCTGTCCCCAACTACCTCATTGATGAAAGAGTGCAAAGGTACAAGAAAAGTACAGTTGTTAAGCAAAATCAAATTTATTTCCCATTTTTCAAATGATTCATTTAATCTAATAGTGGAGTGTTTTAAACTTAAAAAAAAAATCACATTAGGTTTACTGACTTTCCTAACTAGTTTAAGTGACATGTCTTGTGTTAAAGGTTGGAATTCTTTCTTTGTTTTACAGAGACTAGTGTTCCCTGTAATTTCATTTGACTAGAGAGTGCAACACTTTAGAATGCTGGCACAGGGGTGGACCTCAGCAGTCATGCCAGTCATCTCTTCGGGAATAAGGAATAGATGCCCAGAGAGCTTGTGACTTAGTTAAGGTGGTAGAGCTAGTTAGTGACAATTAGAATCAGAACCACTGTCTCTTGACCCAAATTTTCTACCTCACCAAGTATCCATCATGACTTGTCAATAGAAAATATTGTCTTTAATTAATATTTTTCTTTAACTTCTTAAACTTAAATTTCTCTAGGAAGGAAAGTTGACATAAGGAAGAATGACTACAACATAATGAGTTTAATTTGCTAGTTGTAGTTTTCCTAAGATACCTTTAAATGGATGTGTTTTTATTAAAAATAAGAAATGCTAGTTGGTGTGCCCCCTAAAATCAACTTGTATAAATATGGGGCCTCTGCACACCTCATTGTCTCTGACCTGGGGTTTGTGTGTTGAAATTACAAGTACTCGTGGCAGAAGGTAGATGGCAAAGCTAGTGAAAGTATAGAGAATATTTTTGGAAATAGTCTTTATTCTTGAGTTTTTAGTCTTGCAATTTCAGCTCTCTTTGAAACCATGAGCATACAATGGTTTCTTTGTTTTTTTCCTAAATTATGGATAGATTTCAATTTGTAAAGAAAATCCCACATAAGCTTTTCTACAGTGACATAAAGACTATCAGTATAAAACCTGGTTTGTTGCCACACTCTTGATTTACAGTGAATAACTCTGTAAATAATCACTCTGAGAATAGAATCATGATCTATAGTGAGGCTATATTATAGCCAACATATATGTCAGAGAAATAATCCCATGGATTAAACAGAAAGACAATATTTAGGTTTACATCACCTTAGACATTTGAATGGTGCAAACTTTGTGCTTATATCTTTTGATGAAAGACATTAGAGAAATAGATGAACATTAAAGTGTGTATCTCAGGGATTAAGAACACGAACTTTGCTTGATTTTCTCACTGATGAATGAATGAACTGGGATGAAACAGTATCAGGAATGTTAAGAAACTGAATATTATGGCAAAATAAGGCTCTCAAATGTATGTAATGGATATTCTCTAATAAGTTTTTTTGTTCGATTTTTTAGAGATTTTTGCTATATGTGTGCTCACCAGAGAGACAGAGAGATAGAAAGCGAGAAATCACTCCCCAGGGGGGATGGCCATGCCACAATCCCTTCTCCTCCATTCTCCTCTCAGGATTTTGGGGATGTGCACACACAAGTTTTAATTTCTCAGTAGACATATGTTTTCTATGACTTCAGTGGGATTTGTAAATAAGAAAATAATGGCATAGAAAATATTCCTTAGAGAACTCTAACCCTCTTTGTTTTTCTTCTTAAATTGATACAGGTAGGCAAAAGATGAGAGGCGTATTTTATAGTTTATATAGCTTTTTCAAAAAGTTTGCAAGTCTTATAAAATTATATTGCTCTATTTGTACTGGTCAGAACTACTCAAAAGTTAGATTTTTTTTTTCTGACCCAGACACTACAGCACAACAGTAATGCCAGTGCTCTGCAAAACTGGAGGCCACATGGCCATCCACAGGTCAGCAGAAACTTGGGAAGTACGCAGAGTCCTGAGGATCTGTAGGCCTGAGAAGGGGCACTGGCCATCATAAATAAAAGTGGTATATTTTCTGTCAATAGAATTGACAGGAAAAGACATTAATATTAGAAAATTATGTAAAACTAAGCTCTTAATATTTTATTTTTAGTCTAAAAAATGTTTGTAATATGTAATAATACAGATCAATTATAGCTCATATCTTTCATAATGGAACATGTTATATCAGGCTCTATTGTTTCAATTCTTTTTTTAAAAAAATATTTATTAATTTTATTTTTTATTATTATTTTTAATCTCACCAGGGAGAGACACAGAGAGAGAGAGAAGGAAAGTGAGAAAGCAAGTCGCCAGTCTAGGACTTGAACTGCAGTCAGCCATGTGGGAGTATGGCACCTCAGCCGCCATGCCACTTGCTGGTCCCTATTTTTTAACGTTCTTATGACTATTTCAACATTGCACTGATAAATCAACCTAGTATCTTAAAGTTAATACTCTGCAACTAACCATTGCGCTGTAGCTTACAGAGCACGGGAAATCAATTTGATATGTGCCCGAAGTTTACAAATGCTAAAATGATAGATTCTTGAACTATTTTATTTCCATGTTTTAAGAAAATAATTAATGTACACTGTAGTTTTCACAGGAACCTTTAATGGTAAATAGTTATACCTACCTTGACAGATAATTAGAGTATGATTCCTAAGGTAGTGTTTATAGCATCTGAAGGAAGAAATGTGACTCATCTCCTTGAAAACATTAACCTATGTAGTAACAAACTGTGAAGGCAATATTATTGTGTTGCTTTTTTAGAACATTAAATATAACTTACATTAACTGAACAATACTCAAAATCTCATACAAAGGATTTTCTTAACAATACAGTAGTTGAAATATGGAACATACTTATCTTATGATGATACTTATCATAATTTAGTAATTCAAAGGCTTGCCCTCTTCTCCAACATTTATGTAGCATAATGCTTTATATTTATTGAGTGAAAAAAATGTACTAGATATTCTTTACCCTTCAAGAAAATACATACTCAATACTCTGAGTCACAGAGATTAAGTAATTTGCCCAAAATAAATAACAGATAAAACTAACATATAACTTAAAAATGTCTGCAGTTTCTGAGCCTCTTGATCCATAGATTAATTCTGAAATTTTTATTCATTTACTCATTTCTTCAAAAGAGATAGAGAACTGAAAAGGCACTGCAAGAGCTACCGAGATAATCAGGATGCATTGGAGATTCCCAAGATTGTGCAGTAGGAGGCAGGGAGAAAGCACAAGCCACAAGAAATTATAGAGCAGCA